ATCTGATGCTCATATTTTAGTTAATTCTCATGTATGGTTTAGCATATCTCTACTGGGTTTTGGCTCACCCTACTTGGAAAATCATTTTCAGGTACAGGTGACATGCCACCTCCAATGATATAGCTTGGGAGGCTTAGAGGCTAAAGACTCTACTTTTGTGATTTCATTTTTGTGTTTATAAGTCTTCTTTTAAGTCGAGGGCTTTAATTGTAAAGAGCTTCTGACTCTCTCTTTTGTTGTAACCAAGTGATTACTTGGAAAGATGTACGCCTTAGGGCATTTATTTTGTTGTTCTAAACTAGAGTTACATGCTATGGTTTCAAGATGGATATTTATGAAAGTGTAATGCATGTGATATCTTTTGTAATATTAACTTTGATGAATGAAAGCATAACATTTCTATTATGTCTCTAGACCTTATAAATGGTTGATTTGTATAATATTTTGAGGGCGTTACAGGTTTAGTGTTTTAGGGTTTAGGGTTTAGGGTTTTAGGGTTTAAGGTTTAAGGTTTAGGGTTTTAGGGCTTAGGGCTTAGGGCTTGGGGCTTAGGGTTTAGGGTTTAGGGCTTAGGGTTAGGGTTAGGGTTTAGGATTTTAGGATTTGGGGTTTTGGGTTTAGGGTTTAGGGTTTGGGGTTTAGATTTTGGGGTTTAGGAGGTCCAAATTCAACTGCCTAGCTGTACTCAATGTGCTTTTATTAAATTTTGCATAAGTTTCTATCAAGACCCTCTTGATTTGTTTGGGGTTTGGGATTTACAGTTTTTAGGATTTTAGGGTTTAGGGGTTTAGGGGTTTAGGGTTTTTTGGGTTTTAGGGTTTTAGAGATTAGGGTTTAGGGTTTTTAGGGTTTTAGGGTTTTTACGGTTTAGGGTTTTTAGGGCTTTAGGGTTTAAGGTTTAGGGTTTAGGGTTTTTAGGATTTTAGGGTTTAGGATTTAGGGTTTAGAAGTAGAAGCAACCTTGCAAGAAGAGACCGAGAATGCAGAGGCCAACATAACTAATATTCTTCTCTATCTTCTTCTTCTAACTGTGGGTAGTGGTGGTCTACTATTGAGAATTTTGGTTTTATAGCTGAGCTTGTAATAGTGCAAAGACCGATAAGGTTAGTTTGGGTAAATTGCACTTTGCCCCTTAATGTTTGATATTTTTTTATTTTGGTCCTTAAATTTAATTTTTTTTCATTTTAACCTTTTATGTTTCAAGTTTTTTTTAATTTACTATAATAATTTACTTATCTCCAAAATTAGGAGAAGGAAAAATAAATAAATAAATAACACATTGACAGTCAAGTGGCATATAAATATTTTATTATATATAATTCAATATAAACTCAAACTCTAATATAATAATATATATTTTATATTATGTGACAGTGACATTTTATGTCTAATGTTGAACATGAATTAACATTATAAGTAATTGATTTTGTAATCGATTATGTGTATGTAAACTTATTGTATAAACAAAATCCCAAAACACAATAAAAAGTATACACATTTTAGTGTGAAATAGCCAATCCCATTAGGTCATTAGGGCAATATTGTCCGTTTTGAGCGTACTTTCGCGGTTTTATTTTTCTCTTAGGAAAGGCCTTGTACTAATTTGAAAGAGTTAGTCAATTTTTGTAATAGTATGCTTTCCTCACAGAACGATATGAGATGGATACCCAACGAGCTCTCACAACCTGTGCTTGAAAGTGAGTTAAGTGAGTTCTCGGTATTTGGCATACACAAATACATATATTTGTATATGTATGAAGAACAGACGAATCTCATTACAGAATAACAACCAAAGACTCTCGAATCTCATTATTGACAGTTTGTGCTGATTTAATCTTTCTAATTTTTAAATTACTTACTTTTAAAGTATTAGACTTGTCATATTATAAAGTATAAGGGCCAAGATAGTTCATTGTTTATCAATTAAAATTCAGGTGGATGTATATTTTGAGAGTGATCTATCTATCAGTGATGATTCCAGTTTCTCATGGATTCGTTTTTTTTTTTTTTTTAATTTCTCATGGATTTGTTTTTTTTTTTTTTTTTTTTTCTTCAGCGCGCTTATCATTTTGTGTCAAGTGGTATCAAAGTGATGGTTTTCCTACCATTCATATGAGTGAGAAAGACGAGCCTTATTGACAATGATCACAAAGAAGGATTTAACAAGAATTCGGATGGGATTTGCTCAAAGCCACCCTAGTAGCCAAAATGTCTTGAGACGATCTAATTGTAATCAAATTGATATTGGGATGAATCTAACTACAAATAATTTAAGGATTATGATAAATGTTAGTCGGTAAGACAACAACAAAAATTCAATGATGTCTTCGATAGGCATAATCGCATGAAGTATGGTTCCTCACATTATTTGGTAGAATTATAAAATTTTAATTTCAATGCTTTACGTCATGCTGAGGATTTTATTTGTTAGTTTAGTAAAGACATTCTTTAAGTACATGAAAATTCCAAAAAAAAAAAAAGAAAAAAAGAAAAAGAAAAAGAAGCAAATAAATTTTTTTGTGCATGAAGTACAAAGTTTTGTTTCTACATAATAAGAGCAATTGAATTATAGACGAAGGTGATAGTATAAACAACTTGTTAGAATGTGGCACAAGATGAAGTAGATGATCATCTTGATGAGAACTTGTTAGAATGTGGCACAAGATGAACTAGATGATCATCTTGACGAGAACTTGTTTTCTCCAGTGGTAAAATGTTGATTTGACAATTAGTTATTTTATTTTTAATTTTTTATAAAAAGATGTTTAAAAAAATAAAGGGAATAATTGATTTTTTAATAATAAATTTTTTAACTATTTTAGTTAGTTCCTAAATTTGGGCTAAATTAGAGATACAATATAAATTAGGTTTATTTGTGAGGGGTGATTCGACAACAATCTAAATAAACATTTTATTTACTTATTTGTTACAAATTATTACATTGTCTCTTTGTTTTTGTTTTTGTTTTTATATCTTTTATAAAAAGTTAAAAAAATGATTAAATAATTAAACACTAAATCACCCTTATGCTGTGTTTGGTTGTGGGATTTGAGGAAGGATTTTGAAAGGGAAATGGAGAAAATAAGTGAAATGTGAATAAACGTGCCTATATTTCACCTAGTTTCACACACCTTTTTCCTTTCCCTTTCCAAATTCCTCCCCAAATTTTCCAACCAAACACAGCGTTAGTGTGATGATATTATTTAAATTTATAAAATTATTTTAAAAAATGTTATCGTTATATAAAAAATAATGGGAAAATTGGTCTAAGGTCCCTCTCCCAATTTTAGTAATGGAAGAGATCCACAATATTATATTATGATGTCTAAGGTCCCTCAACTTCCACACCAATATATCACAAAGAAAATGAACTCTCTCAAGTCAATCCACCGAATAATTTCTCGTTGAAGAAAATCTGAGCCTACTATTTCTCTCTATATCAAGAGAGCCAGCTTCTTCTTCCTCAAGCAGCTCTGCTTCGGGTTTCCTCCAGTCGTTGCTACGTCGATCACGGAGCTGATTTGCAAAGAAACAAGCCATGGACGCTTGCACAGAACAAGAGAGAAAGATGTGTAAAGAGATCTCTCTGGCACTCTCTCATAGAACTTCCTCAGAAGCCTCTCCCAGTTGAATTCAATTGGCCTCTCCAACAACTCTCTCCAAGGCTCTGTTCCAGGCTGGTTTTGGTTCATCAAGACTCTCACTCACGTCAATCTGGCTAAAAACAGGTTTGGAGGGTCGATTGAGTTCAAACCCACTTCAGATGTGGTCCCATCTTGGTCAACCCAGGTGCTCAATTTGTCATCCAATAGGTTCACTAACTTGGCTAACCTCTCTGCTTTCCCTAACCTCTTTATTCTTGACCTCTCTCACAATGATCTTAAAGTCTTGCCTTTTGGGTTCAGTAATCTAACCAATCTTCAATATCTTGACATCTCAAGCTGCCAAATCGAAGGAAATTCAAAACCCATTTCGGTTCTTCACTCATTGAATCACTTGGATTTGTCAAACAACAAAATGACTAGTTTTTTTCCCTCTGATTTTCCTCCTCTGTTTGGCCTCAAATTCTTGAATCTCTCATTCAACAGTTTCAATGGTCAAGTGAGTCCGAACATGGTTAAAACACAGACAGAGTCGTCCCACCCAAGCAAACTCCAAAGAAATTCAGAATTTCTCTAGAGAGAAATTCCGAAGTCTAGAGAAATTTGGTTAAAACACAGACAGAGAATCCAGAGAAATTCTGAAGTCCAGAGAAATTTGGTTAAAAACACAGACAGAGAATCCAGAGAAATTCCGGAAGTCCACAGAAATTTGGTTAAAACACAGATAATCCAGAACATTTGCACCTTCTATCATTTTCATTAATGAGATGGATGCTATTGGTAACAAACGTGGCGGACCTGATATTGGTGGGGTATGATAATAAGCTTCATCTTTCATGCTATTTGCAGACTATATATGTACACAGACATATCTTCTTGAACATGCTCCACAGTAGTTATCACTTGTGAGGATGTAACCTGTTCATCTTTGATTGTAGTTGTTGGAGTCTCCAACCAAACTACGTCACTAGTATTTCAATCAATATGCACTTGATAGTTCCAATTGACTGCCTAAAATATTATTTTGAAATTTCTCTGTAATGTGTCCGGAAAATTTTACAGTGAGAAATTTCTCTGTGATGCGAATTTTCTCTGAACGAATTTTCTCTGGACGAATTTTCTTTGGATCAACTTGAGAGATCTTAGACAGTATGAAAATATTGAGTGTCTTTTATGCTGTAAAATCTTAATACTAGGGGCTTTAAAAAAATTTCTCCAAAAATAATTTGATTATTTTTGTAAAGTGAGAATTGTGTAAATAGTAATGCTAGGCCATTTTCAAACCCATGTCATTTTATTTTTAACTAGAACATATTTTTTCATCATCGTCGTGCTAGAATGCGGACCGCAATAATCTTTCCGTATTTTGGAATTGGAAGCCTTTTTTCAATTCCAATTTTTACAGCCATTACTGCTTTTTTTCTTGTGCACTGAATCCAAGTCCAAGAAAGACCAACGCGAATTAAATAAAAATAAGAATAAGAATGGGTTCTTCATTGACGAAGAAGGAGCTAGGCAGGATTGTAGATGGTTTATCCCTAATCAGCAAGGAGGTTGTGAAACGTTCTCGATCTCAAAATGGAGATTTGCAATCCCTAATTACTTCCTCCTTGAAGAAAGCAATCCTCGTCGTCACTGATCTCTCCGGACTCACCACCGGCGAGGTCCGCGAGTTCTCCACTCCTCCTCCTCCCTCACCTCCTACTAGTAGTAGTAACAATTCTAAAGCAACAACCAGTGTTGTATACTTCGAGGCGGCGGTTGAGGAGAACCAACCTCAAACACCATCACCTCTTCAACCATCGCCATCGCCATCAAATGTTGGTGGTAAGGAAGTTCCCTTTCCCGAGATACCACCTCCATTGCCATCGAATGTTGGTTGTGATGTCAAAGACGGTTTGCTCGCTTCCGAGGCCAATGTTGACCTTGACAAAGAAGAGCCTGCTCCTTCTCCTCCTCCTCCTAAGATACAAAAGAGGAGGCCGAGGGAGAGGAGAGTTCCTTCTACGCCCTTTTCTAGAGCTCTTGGGTAAGTTTTTCCCCATTCACAACCCCCAAACAATCCAAACCATATGGTAATATTTGTTTCACTGGAATGAAACAGAATGGGATATTCATTCTATCAAAATGTTCATTTTTATGTTTGGTTGACTAATAAAATAGCGACAAAATGCATTACGTTTCCATACGAAAGCCTAAGGAATGATCATTCCATTCCATTTCAATTCATTCCAGTGAACCAAATGAAGCCTATATGACCACTGCTTATGGTATTTATTTTAGTTGATGCATATACTCGAAATTGAAAAGGATATACAAGTATAACCTCCAGCACAAATAGCAGCTACCAAAGCTTGTAACAATTTCTCAAATTTAGCACATGCTATGGCAAGTCATTGGAGCATATACTGCTCTGTTGCAGCTGCCAAATTATGGCAATAGCAGCTCCAATGGCTTGCCATTGGAGATGCTCTTAGGTGCTAACAATTTCTTAAGCCATCGGACTAGGGGAAAAACTCTTGAATTAACCGTGGTGCACTTTCAGAAAAACTCCTTGCCGAGGCCTATGCACCCTGGGGATTAGTTGGGCTTTGATCCGGACATCCAAGTGGCAATCAAAAAAAAAAAAAATTGTGTTTGTGTGTATATGGAAATGTAGAATGGATTGCAAAAGAGTGAAAAAAAAAAAAAAAAAAAGAGAAAGAAAAAGATATACAAGTATGTCCATTTAGTTGATATGTGAAAAGATTCTCACTTTTTTTCTTTCTTTTATTTATTTTTCCTATGTTGCAAGTATACATAAATATACATGAGACTTGGACTTGTACTTTCTGTTGAGCCTTGCACTTAGATTCCAGGAGACTTGGTACCCCCTTTATTTAATTTTGGTCTATTAATGGTAATTCCCCCTTTATTTAACCATTTCAAGAAAATATAGAATTTCTAAAATGCCCCAAAATTTCTTAACTTAGTAGAACACGAATGCATATCCATGAAATTCCCAACTTGTTTACATGAGGTACCAAGTAAGCCCTATATGAATTTCCAAACTTGCTTTTATTTTTCTTTGACTGTCTTGCACCAACTTAAATACAACCAATTCATTCCAGGGGAGGAGGTGACTAACATTGATTTTTGAGCACTCTAGAGAGTACTACTGTAGAGTTGGATCCCTTCCATCCTCTTACTTGGGCATGCCTTTGAGTTTATTATTCAAAATGTAGTCCTTGTGGGATCCCGTAATTGAGATATTTCAAAGAAGACTGGCAGGGTGAAAGAGGCAATACCTATCTAATGAAGAGTACTTTATCTAGGTTGCCTACATATTTTATGTTTTTGTTTGTCATTACTTTGTTGCCGAGAGATTGGAAGCTGCTTATAGATTTTTGTAGGGAGGAATAGGGGAGGATTCAAGTAACCATTTGGTTGACAGGGACTCAGTTTGCAATCCTATGAGGGATGAGGATTGGTATCAAGAAGTTAGAAAATTTCAAACAAGTTTTGTTGGGGGAGTGGCGTTGGAGGTTTGTGAGTAAGAGGGATAGATGGTGGAGACATATGGATGTGATTAAGGAAGTTGGTCCTCTTTCGAGGCATCTCTATCTTACGGAGTAGGCCTACGGAAAGGAGTTGTCTATGTATCTCAAGTTCCCCCCTGCCCCCGGTAAGTGTCATGTAAATTTTTTGCCTTAGTTTGATTGGTGTGCATTGTTCACACGAAACAAAATTAAAGAAATATATCTCCTTCATTATTTACGGAAGTTACTTTATGGCTAATGACTACTTTGGTTCCTCCTCTATGGATGATAGAACTAAGATTTTGTCTATTGTTATTATTGGCAATTTCCTTTCCATTAAAAACAATAAAGACAGAAAGAAATAGAACACTTTCCTTTTCAAATCCCAAATGTTACTTATTACATCCCAAAAATCAAGTCATTTGGAATATTAAAAAATGGAGCTCATCATTGATGTATGTTTTGTGTAACTGTATTTATTTTTGTCCGGAACTATTCTCAAACTAGTTACCACTGCATTATTCACGTCTTTGTAGTGCCAATATTGTCATTTGGCAGTCCTTTTCTTTTCTAAAACATAACATATCTTGGACATGGCTTTCAAATCTGTTAGTTATGAGGGAAATCATCAATTGTATAACATGTTTTTTTGTTCTTATGACTGAGATTTTTACTTAATTCCCAACTTATTTTGAAGGTTTGCTGGCCTAGGAGCTGGTCTTGCATGGGGGACAATCCAGGAATCTGCCAAGAGGATTGTCTTTGGTATGCCCGATTCACAAGAAAAACAATCCGCTATTTCCCCATTCTTATCGGAAAAAAATGCGGAACGTTTGGCTCTTGCATTGTGCAGAATGCGCGGAGCGGCCCTTAAATTAGGGCAGATGCTGAGTATTCAAGATGAATCCATTATACCTCCTCCGGTATTGTTTTTTTAACCTTTTACATTATTCACTTTTTGGTAAGTTATTTTATTACCAAAACAAAAGGATAGTACCACAAAACCTCAAGATACAACCCTAAAGGTTACATAACACATGCCCAAGGCTTCAATATAAGAGTTGATGTGCTAAAAAGAAAAAGGAAGTATATTATTCTTTAGGAAGGACAGGGAACTTAAAAGGCTTCAATATTCACTTAATTATGATGGACAAAAGTAGAGTGAGGCTTAAGTGAGATTGTGTATTGAGAAATGGGGATTGGTGTTTGAGGCTATCACCTAATAAGTCTGTTAGTGCGTTTTTTATTTTATTGGAAGAATTCAGGAAGCAATTTAAGGAGAAGCATCCAAATATTAAGTTGGTTGAGGTTATTGGTAAAGTTGGAAGAAAACAATGAAAATTGATGTCAAGCAATGAGAAAGCATCCTTTGTCATGAAGGCACTTTATTAAAGCTGTTAACACTTGGGATTTGATTTTGTTTTAGTTGTTAAAGGGGTGTCAGGTTTATCTTTTGTACTTTTTCTTCTTCTTTCTGTTTATTTATTTGAATTGTATAAGGGTTTTTTCCCCTCGGCACGCTTTCTAATAGACTAATACAGTTGTACTCTGTTGTTGATCAAAGAAAAAGGTGTAATCACAGTGATTTTGTTCATCAATCCGTTTTAGTAAATGCTGACGGGTTAAAATGCACAATAAAAATTTTATGTTCACAAATAAAAAAGATGTTATAATGTGATAAAACAGACAAATAGTACCGACCCTGATTTAGAAAGGATAAGTGGACCCTATCTGGATGATTATTCACCATTTGTTCTTCTTCAAGTCAACTTTTCCTCTGCTATGATTAAGTTTTATATTTCTGGCATGTATGAGGCTTGTTATATTTTGGTTCCAAAGCATGTGACAGCTCTTATCCCTTTGTAGATCTTGGCTGCGTTGGATATTGTTCGTCAAGGTGCAGATGTGATGCCAATGAGCCAGCTGAATCAAGTTTTGGATGCTGAATTAGGTCCTGACTGGTCACCTAAGTTGATTAGTTTTGATTATGAACCAATTGCTGCTGCAAGTATAGGCCAGGTGATGCTGGCAACTGTATTATTAAATGTTATTTATTCATTATGTGCTGGTTCCTTGTTTTATCCCTTTTAGCATGCAATCAAACAACTTAAGTACTTAATGGTGATAGAGTATGACTTGAGTGTATGGAACTGTGTTTATTTTGCAACTATTCTTGACCAATAGACATTTTTTTTTATCAGTAGCAGCAACAATAAAATTATTAGAGGGAGAATCAAGGTGGACAAGTTGTCCGACAAACAGAAGAGATAAAAAGAAGATACAAAAAAGAAGGTACAAGAAATATAACTAGCTTCATTTGGCTCTCCCATTCCTAGAAGTAAAAAAGCAAAGGAATTTCCTTAAAACGGGAGATGCAGAAGCCCAAAAAGAAGCCAATTTGCAAATTTTACTCCAAATACCCCCTAAGCTATCATTTCTTTCTAACCAAAACAACCCACAAAGCTGCCAATACAAGTCAATTTAATATTTTTCTCTTTTTTATTTTTATTTTTTTTGTTGTTGTTTTGATTTGATTATTCACTCGGTGAGTGTTTTAGACAGTGAAAGTAGGAGATAGATCTAAAAGAGAATTAACCTTCAATCCTTGGATAATGTGACAAAAATTTGGAAACTATTTTAGCACTTTCATTGTTTTACTTGGGCACTATAATAGTACTTTAGTAAATTAGTATACGAGAACAAGTTTGGAAAAGTCAATTCCCTGTTGCTTAACACAATAATGTAAATGTTGTTTGAAACTCTTCATTTCTAACATTCTTAGTAGAAATTGGAGTTATCCAGTTATATATGCTCTCTTAATGGGTAACTTCCTTGCCTAAACATTGTGACTACTCTGGGTTTTCTTTTCTTCCCCAACCAACCCACATGCACATGCACACACAAAACAAAAAAGTGGAATATGGATATTTAGGTACCTTGCTTACTTCTGCTCACACATACATCTATAGGCTACATGGAATATGAATATCTGTTGCAATTGGAGCCATAAAGATGAAGAAATTTGCAAAATCATAGTTGGCGTTAGTATTCAAGCCCTTAACAAAATTTTGAGGTCTCAACCTTTTAGGAAACATTTGAAGGCATGATGGATGATGTTTTGCCAAAAAAATTGATTAATCCCCCAAAGCTATGATGATGCAATGAGATACAACTTTTTTATTTTATTTTATTTTATTTTATTTTTTCACACTAATCAAAATCCAACTTATAAACAACAGATCAGTAGCATGAAAAGAAATTTGAAAAAACAGAATAATTAAAGGACACTTTGATACTATGAGCGTGCAGATAATGGGATAAAGTATGTCTATCTTCAGTGGCAGTTGAGCTCAAGTATGCATAAAATGATTGTGCGTGTCATAGACTATATACAAGAATTATGACAATTATGTACCATATCAAGCTATTATTAACATAATCGAAATAATAGCTTTTATCTTGGTTAATTGTGACTTGGAAATCAAGTTTGTATTACACATGAGGTTAAAATCATTCCAAAAATAATTCTTGGACTTCTCTCTTACACATAATCCTATTTCCCTCTTTCTTCTGATTTTCTGGCCTCAAGTTTCATCAATTCAAAATACTTGTGGATTAAAGTATTATCAATTTAAAACCTTGGAAAGATATGAATTACACACACTGACTAACAGAAAGTTGCATTTCCTTGTCTATGTTATTTACTTTGATTACCATAATCTAAGAAGCATGTACACTTCTATGAGGAGGCACGTCGTTTTGGACAATAACACTCTTTGGACACTTCTAAAAGCGTGTTTGACACTTCTTTTACGTATCTTAATTAAAATTTTAAATTCATAATATCAGACATTTTTTTTTTTTGGGATAAATAATAATATCAGACAATTTTGAACACTTGAACTCGTCAAACACGACTTATGTGATGAATCTTTTCATAGCAACAATGAACTGTATTCTTCAAAATGCAATTTGTGCACTCTAATAGAATTTCCCATCTTTACCTTCACCTACTCCACTACACACTCCACTTCACCTACCTCCACTTCACCACACACTCCACTTCACCTAACCCACTATCACCTCCACTACACCTACTACCACATTTTCTTTTATATATAGATTGTATAGGAATTGTAATCAATGTATCTTGTAATACATCAACTCATCAATCAATAATATACATCAAATTTTACAAATTGTTTTACTTTCTTTGAAATGCAAATGTTACTTGAATAATATCTTGATGTTTAAGGTATGTATGACTTTTAAATTTTAATTAGTGTTATGTTATGTGTTTTTGCCCCCATTACCTTTGAATGTTTATTTGACATATAATAAATTTAGAAAAATGCAAAATTTTAGTGTGTCCTTAGTGTTAAGTTCCTTTTTGATGTGTGTGGGTTCGCACACCTTTGCTATACTACGTTAAGTGGCATTTACTGTGTTTTACGTTTGAATATATTATGTATATATAAATTATAATGAGAGACAGATTAAGTTTTTTGGGAATTAATGTGTATATCTGTGTATAGCTCCCTTTTTATGGAATTCTAGTATTTTCGGTTAAAACTGATGGACCCATCCTGCATCACCTTACCTTTATTCTTCTTCTTTTATGTTGCTCCTTCATGCATCCATTTTGCATCCTTGCATAGTTTTATAGTGGCGGTCTGGGTTTCCATGTTTGATTTTTAATGACTAGCGTTGCGGTTGCATTTTTTTGCGCGAATTATTATAATATAATAATATCTGATGTTCCCTGCTTTATATAATATAAGCCTTTCATGTCAACTGCCATGTATGTTTATGTGCACAGTTCTAACATGATCTTTAGGTGCACCGAGCTGTCACAAAGAATGGTTTGCACATCGCAGTGAAAATTCAGTATCCTGGTGTCGCAGATAGCATCGAAAGTGACATTGAGAATGTGAAAAGACTATTAGACTATACAAATCTGATTCCAGAAAATCTTTTTCTGGACAGAGCTATGAAGGTAATCATCATTCAGGCTAGGTTTGTCATTTTGCTTATATTGTAAATAGTCGTGTTCTTTTGAATCTTTATAAGGTTTAATCATGCCAAGGGGAAAAAATCATACAGTGCAAAATTGGGTTGGTTTGTCATGGTTCAGCTTTGTTGCTGGAAATTTCGGTCGGCTGAACTGTGAATTGCTTGGGATGGGCTGAGCTCATGCTAGGGAAATTTTATTCACACACCATAGAAAACCTCAGTACAGACCATTTGTACCGTTCAGATATAAACTATTGAATGGAATTTATATCTAAACTCATTTTTTAATAGAAGTTAATGTCTGAACATTTGACTTCTGTTCAGAAGTTTATATCTGAACGAGACACATGGTGTGTATTGAGATTTTATGTGGTGTGCGAATAGAATTACTCTTCATGGGTTGAAGTTGGTTGTGGGCTTAACATGGATCGATTTTAGCTGGAATCAAGGCCTAGCTCTTAGTTGCAAGAATCGTGCAACTAGGTGGCGATTCTCAATAAGAATCGTGATTCCGCGATTTCTAGAAAGACACGTGTAAGAATCACGTTTCTGTGGAGAGAGAAACGCGATTCAATCCAAGATGGGATCGTAAAGGGCAAAGAGAGAGAGAGAGAGAGGGAGAGAGAAAAACCCTAACCTTCGACGTCGACATGAGAGGGGAAAGGGCTTCGATCATCTTCGTCACTCTCGCGATCGTCTTCGTCACTCTCTCGATCGTCTTCGTCTTCATCACTCTCTCTGTGCTTCTCTCTCTCTCTCTCTCTCTCTCTCTCTCCGTCTCCGCTTCTCTCTCTCTTCATCTCTGTTCGTTCTTCTCCTCACTCTCTCTTTTCGTCTGGATCATATCATATATAATAGATAATATATATAATTTATCATATATAATATATATATGATAAAAGGGCCTCTTCTGATTATAATATATATATAATTTATCATATATATATAATTTATCATATATATTTTTATCATATATTATATATGAAATAAAAAAATATTTAATTATTATTTCTTAAAATATCATATATAATAATAATTTTTGTAAATTATTATTTCTTAACTTTTTAACATATAATAAATAAAATAAATCATCCAATTATTTAAAATAAATCTAATTAAACCATATATAATAAAAAAAATTATAAAATAAAATATCTAATTTTTCTTTTTATTTATTTTAACATAATTTATTATTCCTTATCTATTATAATTTTTTATTTATAATATATATGAATTAAAAATAAAAAAATAAATTAACAATAATACATTATTTAAAAAATATAATAAATAAATAAAATAATTAATGTATATTAAAATAAAAATATTTATAAAAAGCTTTAAATTAAGAGCTCTAATAGCTCTAATTTAGGAATGGCAATGGGCCGGGGCAGGGCCGGGGATCACCCTCCTCGTCCCCGATCCCCGAAGGCAAAAAAATTCCCGTCCCCGCCCCTGATCCCCAGCAGGGATGCCATCACCCCCCCGCCCCCGCCCCCGCTCCCTCTCCCGCTCCCGCTTCGTGCAACTAGCTCTAACTAATGTTATAACACTATAGATATGCATATTACATACATTCAATTTTGTATTGTAGGTTTTTCTGGATGATATATATGGTGCTTTGTATTGTTCAATTAGTATTGCTGGAATATATATATATATGCATATATGTATGGTGGAAATGTTACATGTATACATGTATGTAAATACATACATCGTTTGCGTATGTATATTTACATGCAAGCTTATCTAAGTGGTGACATATGCTGCTCCAACATTCATATATGTTTTGAGTTCTCTGCAGGTGGCAAAAGAAGAATTATCTCGTGAATGTGACTATGAGTTGGAGGCAACAAACCAGAGAAGATTTCGTGATCTGCTATCCAACACGAAAGGGTTTTATGTTCCAAAGGTCATGACTGATATCTCTAGTAAAAGAGTTTTAGCAACAGAACTCGTTCCTGGTAATTGTCCTATGGATTTATGTTATAGTTTGCAGATCATGAAGGTTCTTGTGTAGACATAACGAAATCTTTGTCAGCATATATATTTGATTAAAAAATTGTGGACAGCTTCTTGCGGTTAAATTGAATAGTATATATATCTACTCGTGATGTGTGGCAGATTTTTGATAGATAAAATAAAAGTACCATATATGTGATTGATCACTGTTTTACATTGCTCTAAAAACTGTACTATCTTTTTTATCAATACTAACCTGTCACAGTTTCATTGTATTAGTCATGTTCACAGACTCTGGTGCTGATGAAGGACAGCCTAGTACCTTTGTATTCTAGGGCTGTATTGCGATGGAAAAGTAGCAGGATATTAGATTAAAACAAGGGGAATGAGGTTAGAGTTTGAAAAATAATTGATTTCAAGCGATGAGATCATGTTTTGATGAGCAAACTGTTGCTAGACATATTTGAAAAAAACAGAAATCCAGCAAATAGGAAAATAAAAGAAGAGTACCCTACTCTACTAGGGTTGCTTGATATCCATACTCATGTCAAAAGAAGAGTTTTACACTCGTCTTTAAATAAGAAAAAAACACTTTCATTCCAACTCCAAATTCGTAATACAAGAAGGGACCATTTATATAGACACTGGAAAACCCTAATGGCACAGAAACTTTCTAAAAATTGTCCCATCTTACATAGAAACAATTAGGGGTGTTCACGGATGGGTTTGATTCAGTTCTAAAGTGAACCAAGAACCAAATCTCTTTATACGGTTACAGATTTTTAGGAAGTGAATCAATGTGAACCATAGAGCATTTGGAACCAAACGACAAAAACTATTTGGTTCTGGTTCGGTTCAACGGTTCTAGGTTAGAAAACCTATCACTATATCCATACTATCACGTTCAAATAATAAAATGGTTCTACCTATAAAATCATTCCAAAAAATTCACAAACATGCTTAAGCTTAACAATTCTTACTATTCGCCAAATTAACTTTTAATCAAATGTGTAAAGAGACATCAAATTCTTCATAGCATATATTGAATACTACATAAATGCTATATTCAGTTCAATAATATAAGAAAAGAAGTGTAAAAATCTTATTTATAAGGACCGGTTAGGTTCGGTTTTATTCAGTTCTCTTTTTAGTCTTAATGGGGGAATCGAATTGTAATAAACGATTCTTAATTACTTGGAACTGGAACCAAATTGTTCTTTCAAAAACCAAACCAAATTGTATGGGTGAACCAATCCAGATCAATTTATCAGTTCCACCGCTTTTTTTAAACACCCCTAGAAATAATGACTCAAAAGATCCTGCAAAATAGGTATGTTCTAAACAAGTAATTGGCTGGATTTAGCCCAAGAAAATACTGCTGATGAACTTTGGAATAAAACTCTTGAAATTAGAAATGAACTTAGAAGGAAACTAAAGAACATTAAAATTCTAAAAAAAAATCCAGCACATTTTAAGACTTGCTATATGGATTTAACTTATTCTAATCAAGAATAAAGCATAAACTCATAACCAAACAAGCTTGACATTATTTAATTGAGATGTCTCTTCTTCTTGTAAGTACTTTTGCATCAGATGTGTTATGCCTATGCCGCAACATGGGTCTGTGATACATGTAGGCATGACCATTTTTTCAGCAAAATTTCCATATTGCTTCATGTAGCTGTAATTATCAATTTCACTTCCGTTTAGGTATATTGAAATTATGGGTATAGCACCTTTTGGATTGGGACGGATTTTACCCTAAGTCTAACCTAATAATGCCAATTACATTTTGTGGCAAATCTTTCTGGTCTCAAGGGGCTTCTACGTGTTGAGTAGCCAATTTCACTCAAACTGAATATATCACATTTGTTTTTTTTCTTTTTTTATATTATAGGGGTATATACATGTGTATCTATGGATGTGGTGTTTGTTTATCCATTTTAATTTAGCTTGTCTATCCACCTTTTTGTTTACAAAATGAATGCAACACGGATTTTGCAGGCGTGATTGCCTCTTTACATGTATCCAGCCATAAATAGTTTACACTGAAGTTTTATTGAGTTGGTTAAAACAATATTTCCCCTTGTGTGATTGCATTTTTGTCTCGCATGATTTGCCTCGCTACAGGAATTCCAATTGATAAGGTGGCACTGTTAACCCAAGAGACCCGTAATTACGTTGCCAAAAAGTTACTGGAGCTTGCTTTGATGGAGCTCTTTGTCTTCCGTTTCATGCAGGCACATTCATTTTTCCCCAGCTTGTTTTCTTTTCTTTTACCTTTCCTTCTTGTATCTTGTTATGTTCCTATCTTATGGTTCCATAAATTTCTTCCATTTTCCGTTGCTTTTACTAATCACTGAGTTGCCAGCAAATCAACTATTTAATTGATACCCTGCATATTAGTCTCTGAAGTTGCTCCTCACAGATGCTGTTTCTAATTTGGGAAAGTGACCTGAAAATTTACCTCTCCCCAATTATTTGTTCTTCTTGGATATGACAGAATAAAATAAGACAAGTCTGAAACCAATGTCAGGGGAAGAACCAACCTTCTGTGGTTGATGGACATAGTGTACCAAATATGTTGTGTGTGGATATTAAGATATTGAATCTGGCCATCTTGAAATTAAAGCCTAAATTTTTATTATTAACTTGTACTTCTAAAAGGACAAATATTCTTCAGGAGAGATGACAGAGAGTATTTTTGGGATAGGTCAATTCCTCCTCACTCAAGGCATCAATATCAAGTCAAATCCAAAACTGTACTTGGATCTAAAGCTTTCCTTTTTCAGAATTAGATTTTTTAGTGGAATTTTTCACTGGCATATTCAGTAAGCTATGGATTTGAAACATTGTTATAAAAATGAGGATCCGAGTTTGCATCTAAGCTTGATGCACAGATTTGAAATTGGTTAATAATTGAATTTGAAATGACAAACCTTCTATGAAGCATGGACACCTCTCCGGAGGTCGCATACAAGTGTCTGACACGTGTTGGACACAAACACGCTGGAAAGAGTTGGACATGTTAGGACACTTTGGACACACTGTGGACACGCTGAGTACTATCTTTTTCAAAAAAAATTAAAATTTTCAATTTTTTTTACTAAAATAGCATACCTAAGGTTGATAAATTTGATATAATTAAATATTTGACGTAAAATACATATTAAATATTTAAAAATATACATATGATGAAAATATAAAAATATATGTTTTGAACATGTTCCCAACGTGTTGTGTCCTGCATTTTTTTAAAATTTACTTGTCCGTGTCATATGTCCGTGTGTGTGTCCGTACTTCTTAGGCAACCTTAGTGTTGACTGATGAATGATTGTTTTTTGCTTTCAAGAACTCATATTATTAATTGTTGTACTTTCGATCTTATTTTGGCTTGCTTGATCTGATGCAGACTGATCCTAATTGGAGTAACTTTTTGTATGATGAGGCAACAAGAACCATTAATCTTATTGACTTCGGAGCAGCCCGGGATTTCCCTAAATGTTTTGTCGATGATTATTTAAGAATGGTGAATTCTCTTTGCATTACTCTTGAATTACCTTTTGATTTCTATGTTTAGTTAAACCCATTCTTAATTATGATAGCAAAATTTTATGAGGTTTAAACCAAAACTTCAAAGTTAAATTTGAAGAGGTAACAATTTGTTCTAATTAATTTCATTTGTTTATAACCAATATGGATATTATCTTGTTGTCTAAAGAATTATTAGAGTAAACAATTTTCTGAAAGAGATGAAGTACAAAATATATCATTAGTACAATGATGTAGGACATCTTTAGGAAACTTACCCGAATGCTGCCTACCAGTAGATTTTGTGGTGGATGTTGGTTGTGGAAAACTATAGGGTTAGGGTTATATGGGGTGATTTTATTTACACTTTTATCTCATACACTACTCATTTTCTTTTTCTTTTCTTATTACAATTTTGCCCTTATCTAAAACTACCAAAAAAGACACAAAACCCTAAAACATCTAACTCTAATTTCTCAACCCACCCACCCCTTCACCACCATCTCCATCACTGCCAGTGTCGGCACCACCTCGAACCCCTCTCTGCCCCGCCACGCCTTCTTCTTTCCAAAGAAAAACAAAACCTAGATCTACTCTCTCTTCGTCTCTCTTGCTAGCGATGGTGGAGGGCATGAGGGGGTTCACATTGGTGGAGGGATGAGAAGGAGTTTGCGGCAGCAATTGACGGCAGAGGAGATGGGTTGTGGCTGAGGAAATGGGTCACAATGGAGAAGAGGATCGCGGCAAAGGAGGGGGCTGGGAAGGTGATCTTGGCGGGAGAAGGCAATTGGTGGTCAGAGTTGTCAATTAACCACCATCAAGAAATGATATATTTTCACTCTTATACCCTTGTATAAAATTATTGTTCCAAATAATTAAATACACTATTCTTCTTTCTTTTTTCCTATCTTCGTGACCAAACAGAACCAATCCCATCAACTCCAAGCTTTGCAACCAAACATCAATTTTCTTTCATACCAAATCCATTGCAAGTCGATCACTGCGACCACGCACATTGTCACCACTAATCACCACCATTTTCACCAATCAACACCTCTCTAGATCCATTGTTGTTGATAAACCAATGCATCAAACTCCTCATTTCCCACTAAGTGAATCTCTCACTTATTTCCCATGTACTTCTAATTTTTAAATATTCACAAGGCGATGCTAACTTAAAAACGAAGTCAAAGATGTATAATATGATGTCTTCTGAGATAATGCCACAAGAGAAAATGAACCACTCAAAAGTAAAAATAACTAGTGTACACAATTTTTTCCAAAAAAAGGTTCACAAAATGCAGTGTTGCCGGCATTGTATTTACTATGGATGGGACCCACACTCCACTCAACATTGAACGTTTTTGTGAATCATTTGTGTTTGTAGCATTTTTATAAAGACAATATCTAAATGAAATCAAATTTAACTCTATTCTCTCCCAAAATTGTTTTTTTAGAGAACTGGTGTCTTAAGTTCAGTATTTGATGGGACCAATCATGTCTAAGTGGGGACCAAGCTTCTCCTTAGCAGCAACTTTAACCCTCAGTTTCGTCAACTGTTGCTTCCTCTTGTATGTCACCTGCAGCCACTCCTTCCTCTTCTTTTGAAGTTCCCTGATAGTATCATAATGGTTCCATCTGACCTCTGAAGAACCATGTTACATGGACTCTTTTACTTCTCCTAGTGTACCCATGTCCACTGAATATGACAAGGATTAGGGTGTGGAATGTGTCTGACATTTTTCTCTAATTTTGACACTTAATCCTCTAATTTTATGTATGTTTTCATTAGAAGATGCTCGTATTTACTAGTAAGGAAACATTTCTAACTTCTCACGTGAATGAGAGATATAAATTTCATATTTTTCCTAAATTCCATTTAATTTGAAGTACATTTATAAATAATTGTCATCATCTTATTTAAGAATATAATAGCTCTGCCTCACCCACTATTTGAAACAATTCAAAAAATTCATTTGTATTTTTTAATTTGTTCTTTTTCAATGATTTTGAAGGCTTTATTTACAAGAACTAATTGAGATATTTTAATTGTGATTTTTTTTTTATAATGAAAATACATTATTTATTGATCCGATTAAAGGGCACAAATGCCAAAATTTAGGTTTATAAATGTTTAATACATATCCCCATATCCATACCCATCATTCGGGTACATATCGCAATATCCTAAAGTTTAGGTTTATGAAGATCTGACGCTTGGACATGCACCCATACCCAATACTCGTCTTGAGTGTCCATGTAACATAGCCGAAGAAAGCCTTCCCAACAAGGTGTACTTATGCCCAGCTTGAAGTCTCAGAACCTTGTGAGCATTAGGGATGCCATCCCACGAATGGTGTGCCAAAGGATCTTGGTGAGGGAACGGAAGTGGATTGGGCAGTGGGATGGCTTGGTGTTCATGTGCTGGTGGAGGAAGTGGAGGTACTTCAACTTCTGTTTGATGAAAATCCCACTGGGAGGCATATCTCCTCACAACCAATGCCTTCTGCCCATTCAGCAGCTCCTTTGCCACTATCAATGCCAGCCCCCCAACATGTGGTGGCAAACATCCACCACCACCCTCTTTGCTTAGATCCCTGGCCCTTACACCATGGCTCCTTCTCTGCTGCTAAATAATCCTGTGCGCTGCAAAATTAGTAATTGGTGATTGTTGAACAGACATGTATACGTGTGATGGTTGTTGCAGGAAATAGTTTCAGTGCCTTGTTGACTATGGAATTTTTATCTTAAGCTGAATTTACTGAGAGAGTTGCATAAATTATTTGATCAGGTTCTTGCATGTGCAAATAGTGACAGAGAAGAAGTGATAGCGATGTCAAAGAGGCTGGGTTTCCTAACCGGGATGGAATCGGAGATAATGTTAGAGGCTCATGTTCAGGCTGCTTTTGTTGTGGGATTGCCTTTCTCAAAGACTGGTGGGTATGACTTCCGCTCTACAAATATTACTCAAAGTGTTTCTAACCTTGGGGCAACCATGCTGAGGCACAGGCTGACACCACCGCCCGATGAGGTGTATAGTCTTCACCGTAAGCTTTCTGGTGCTTTCCTTGCTTGTATCAAGCTTGGGGCTGTTGTACCATGTAGGGAACTTCTACTAGAAGTAAGTGAAAGTTATCAGTTTGGGGAAGATAGTGGTGAGATCTCTAGTGGTTCAATTTCATGATAGTCATTGGTTTAGTTTTTTTTTCTATTAATTTATTTCATTCATGCAATAATTTTGTAGTGCCAATTGTTGCTCTTGGTTGGTGCATAATTTGGATTGGATTAGGCAAAATTATTAAATAACTAGAGTACAGGGCAGGTTCTGATATGAAGGAATGCATCAGGAAGTGATTGTTTGGAGGGTATGGTATTGGAAGGTTTTAATACATGAACAAGAAATATCAAAAGAAAAACTTGGAAAGCTACTTTCATGCATACCTTTCTTGATCCTGTTTTATGTAATCTTTTACGTCTGTCTTTTTTCTTCTTCTTCTTTTTTTTTTTTTTTTTTTTTTTTTTCTTTCTTTGATATCTTTATCATTGTTTTGGAGGTTCATGTAACTCAGCAAAGTTTGATGATTATCAACCGTATGACTCCCTGTAGCTCGCAATCTTCAAGTACCTTTTCGAATAATTATGGCAAATTCCTAATATAAGTCATGTGTATAGATCTCCAATGTTCAGGCTGCCACCAATAGGGTGATGTGGGGATGACGTCTTCATTTGGAGGATCATGGGCATCAATGGTGTGGTGGTGTGAAGCTATGGTTGTCTCGGAGAACAAGGGCTTGTTTCTGGTTATTTTGAATTAGCCTATAATGGCTGGCTGGCATTGTGAGTATACGTGGATGATGATGATGATGAGGAGGGCGATGATAATGGGTAGGAGTGGTGGGGGTGAGATTGGCAGTGTTGTTGAAGTTCATGTTTCTTACATTAGTGGTGATGTAAGCAAGCTGTTATTTGAAGGTTTGAAGTGGTGTGTATATACATACATTGAAAATGACCAGTTAGCTGCTGATGTAGATGCAATTTTTCTGTTATTTAACTGTCCATTCATTATGGATTACGGATTAAAAATTACTTTGTTACTTTTTGACTCAGGAGTTGTTTGAGATGACTTAAATAAGTGTACTTTTTGTCTTTTTACGAAAAGATATGCAGAAAAATAGAGAGATAATGTAATGAAAAAAAGATGAAAAGATGGATTATTTTAGAGTTGCCAAACTTGGCCTTAAAATGCCTTCATCTTCTGTCATCTCTTCTGACCTAAACACACGTATATGTGAAATACGTATAAACTGTCGTTTCAATTAGTCCTGTGTTGATTGCGGAGCTTCTACAACCAGTTAGAAACAATCTGTGTGGGCAGATAATTGGAAAATACTGCACGCCAAGCGCAAGCAAGGGTGTTAAAAATTGTTCAAACCAAATGATTTAGGGTTGGTTTGGGAAGTGGGTTGACTTTTTGGTTTTTTGACTTTTTAGCTATTTTAGCCTGGGCTAAAAAGCTTGATTTGGGAAGGATTTTTTGGCTTTTTTGATTTTTTTTTTTGTGAGAGAAGAGTGTAATAATTATGGGTTAGATGTAATGTTTTGTTTGTTGTGATTAAAATAGCCTATTTGGTCTTTTGTAGCTATTTTAGCCACAAGTTTCTTCCCAAACGGACCCTTAGTCTAATTTTTTTTCTAGGGAATTATTTGGTTCCAATTCCAAAAAATTAAGAACCATTTATTAGAGCTTGGTTCATGGATCAGAGTTCAGATCCTCTCCTTGAGGATCATCCTTCACTTCCTCCTTGCAACGGCTGAGATCAGCCATTGCAGATTAAACGGCTTAAAAAAAAAAAATTAAAAAATAGAGGAAAGTCTGAATCTTTCTTTGAAAATTATGATTTCAAACCTAATTATATATACGTACACATTTTTGTCTTCCTCATTCAATCTCTTCTCTCTCTCTCTCTCTATCTCACTCAGTCTCACCCTCATCCTTTCTCCTCCACCGAACCCACCCTCACCGGCGATCCACTTCCGACGACGGTGAGAAGCTCCTGAAACCCAACCGACCTGCTTCGCAAACCAGAGCTCTCACGCTCTTCTCCTCCACCTCACCGAACCCGTCTCATCGGCGACCCTCTCGACGGACCCCCACTCCCCAAACTTAACCCATTACTTTGCCATCATTCTCTCTACCCTCACTTCGCGAACCAGAGTTCCCCTGTGAGCAAACCAATCTCTGTAGCTTCAACAATAGCAGCTCATAAATGAAAGTTTTCAAAAAGTGCTGTTGAGACTGTTGCTATTCAAGTGGCTGAAAATGGTTGAAAATAGTTGCTGAAATTGTTGCTCATAACTAATTTTTGTTGTTGTTGTTGTTGTTATTGATGCTGTTATGGCATAAGATGTTTTTAGGTGAATGTACATTTAGTAATGTTGTTGATGCAATACCTACTGATCTGCAAAATTTTGGGTTGAGTTTGTGAATTTAAGATGTTTGTTTAAATGTCTCAATGAAATGTTGATTTAGTTACATGTTCAAAAGTGTTAAAGAATTACAACTTCTGAATCCATTGCAACAGATACGATTATGACTTTATGAGATGATGCCAACATATATATTTTTATTGATAATTTGTTTTTTTTTTTTTGTGGTAATTTACATTCTCTAAATAGACAAGCTATGCCTTTTCAAAAGTGTCTCATTTTCATTGCCATTATTCTAAAAGACTAAAGTGTTAGCTTTAATATAGTGAATTCTCACTTAAAAAATTTTGATTATGATTTGAATGGCTTAGAAAAAAATGAGATTCATTGCGGGTCTCATTTTAATTATTCGAACCATTTATTTTATTGAAAATTTCATATATTTGATCTACATAAAAAATTAAGTCAATTGGATAATTGTAAGTTGGTTGATTTTTTTTTTTTATCAAAAAAATGTATAGTTTATTTTTTAAAAATATAATTGTTGTTCATTTTGTAAATGAAATTAATCTTGTACATTTTTTCTTGCTTAAAAATCGAAACCACATTGCGCATAGAGAACTCAAAAACTTTATTACTCATCTGTTTGTATAAAAAAGTTAATGGTTTGATTTTCCGCATTCATACAATTACATAAAGATTGAGACTTCCCTCTGTTTTTAGCAACAAAAGAATCTCAAATGACATATGTACATATATCATCATAATAGCCTTACATAATGCAATGGATTCACACGTTTCAATGGCACTGTTTAGTACTCTGAGCAACAGGTAGTAAACTAACATTTCTTTGAGGACTTTAATCAAACATCTAAAGTTCACGGACTCAACCCAAAACTTTAAAAAAAAATTGGTAACAACCACAAACCAATTTAAAAAAAGAGAAGAAAAAACACCTAAATGGTGTTCCAATTTTCAATGGCGAGAGCCTCTGTTCATGGAGATATCATTCAAAGCTAAGTTTGAAGCTCCAATTTTGCCTGTGGGCAGCTGGTGGGCGCAATGATTTGAGAAAGATAGGGAAAACGAGAGGAATAAACACTGAGTTTATGTGGGTGATGGATGTGGACTGGAACATAGAACGGTGGCAGTGGCGATGGCGGTAGTAGAGATTGCACTGGTAGACGACGACGACAATGGTGAACGGTTCCGGTGATCATCGGCGCCGGCGGTGGCTTTTGTTATGCAAGTGTGAAGAAATGGAGAGAGGTAGAGAGAGATAGAGAGAGGAGATTGAATGAGGAAGACAGAAATGTGTACGTATATATAGTTAGGTTTGAAATCAGAATTTTCAAAGTTCCCTCTATTTTTCAAGAAAGATTCAGATTTCCCTCTATTTTTCAAATTTTTTTTTTTTTAAGCCGTTCGATCTGCTACGGCTGATCTAAGCCGTTGCAAGGAGGAAGTGAAGAATGATCCTCAAGGAGAGGATCTGAACTCCATGGATTAAGACAACGAATTGGGATCCTCCCCTTCATTTCGGTCCTTTATTCCCTCCTTGCAGGGCCTTCGGGCCCACTTTGAGGCCCAATTTTGATAATCCGAACCGTTCATATTTTTAGATTTATTCAGTATATCATACCTGTAAAAAATCAAGTTGATCGAATATCATAAAGTATGTGTTCGGAAAACTGTTTATTAAAAAATAGTTTGTAGTCCCAATTTTCTGAACGCATACTTTCTGATATCCGATCAACTTGATTTTTTACAGGTATAATATACTGAATAAATCTAAAAATATGAACGGTTTGGATTATCAAAATTGGGCCTCAAAGTGGACCCGAAGACCTCTACAAGAAGGGAATGAAGGAGGGGCTCAAGGAAGGACTCTGGACTCCAAGACAACAACCAAAAAAATCAAACCATATTGCTCCGTGTTTCTGTTAATTTTAAGAGTAGAGGGTGTTCTACAAGACACTAAGGCATTGCATGCACTTATTTACTTATTTTAGGGTTGTTTAGAGTGTTCTAAATAAGTATATTTTTGTCTTTTTAAACTAAAAAATTAAGAAAGAAAATATAGATGTTTGAGTTAATTTTTTGATTTTTTATGAAAAAATGTGTAATAAAAAATTGTAAAAATTAGTTTGTAGAAGAAAATTAGGATTGAGAATTGTGCAACCGTAATTGTTGATTTTTGATGAATAATGTTAACTTTTTAACTTTTTAAATAACTTTTTAATTTTTCCTGTACATGCCAAACTTGACTTTACTATAAGTTTTCACATTACTTCTTTACTTTTTATACAATTTTTTTTAATAAAAAATTAAAAAATCACTTAGAGCATCTCCAACGGTGACTCAAATTTTTCACCAAATTTGAGTAAAAAATGATCCATTTCACCAAATTTGATACCACTCACTCCAACGGTTCAACTTTCACCAAATCTATTTCGGGACAACCGGGTGGTCGACCGGCCGGTTGACTGGTTAGGCAAAAAAAGTTTTTTTTTTTTTTTTTCGCGAATTATCTGAACTTTTTTTTGAACTTTCTGAACTTTTTTCGGGACGACCGGGTGGTCGACCGGTGGACCGGTTAGGCAAAATTTTTTATTTATTTATTTTTTTAACGGTTTGAACTTTTTTCCTGAACTGTTTGAATCTTTTACTGGTTGACCGGCCGGTCAACCCGGTCCCCCTTGCAGTGGTCACCAACAGTGTTTTGGTAAAATCAGTATTTCGTCTTCAGTTTGATGAATTTTTTGATGAAATCTGAATTTGATATTCATTTGGTACCACCGTTGGAGCTGTGAACAGTGATTTTTTCATCAAAATTTGAATTTAATATCAATTTTGATGAACCATTTGAGATGGTCTAAATAAGCAAATCCAAAACCACCCTACTCTTATAGTCATTTGACTTTTTCAAACCTCAAATCTCATTCTGATGTGGATAGGACTTCCAATTCATCGTATTTAGGAAGGCTCTCAAAGCACTGGCATGGATGGAACTCTGTTTATACAAGGACTGCGATCATTTTTCTGCTCCTAAGTGTGTGTATCTTTGAGAATCGAAGTTCATGCAAGTTGTTTGGCACGTGATTCCCCAATAATATGTGTTTTTGGAGAAAAATATTCAGTTCTGGTTCTGCCCACAGAGACACACATATATATAGTTCTTACTATTGCATATATCATGGGGGGGTCCACCCACCATTACAAAATTCACTAACTTGAAATTTTATCGATATTTTACCGGAAAAATGTCTCGTAACTCAAATTTTGTAACTTAAAAGTGACTTAAATGGCCAAAACGACGTCGTTTTGGCTATTTTTATGTTGTTCTGTACTCAAAACGACGTCGTTTTGACCATTTGAGCCACTTTTGAGCCACAAAATTTGAGCTACGTAGCATTGTCGATTTTACAGTCAAAAAAACAATTGATTGGAAACATGCAAGAAGCAACAAATTTGTAAACTACCAACTACGATGACATGCAAACACAGTTGTCCTACATACACATACATAAACAAAATTCCAAGAGTTCCACACACACACACACACACACACACACACACACACACAAAGAGTAATGTGATTATTTTATTTTATTTTATTTTTTAATTTGTGTGCGCGCGCGCGTTGCCTAGCATCATCATCTAATCCTTCGTACAGAAAATTAAGCATTGAAGGGAAAGATACATAAGATGGAAGTCAGGGGGATTTAGAAGAATTGGAAAATAATAAAAATTTGTTCCAACAACAATACAATATCTTCAAAACCCATCCCTCTCGGGCAACGAAAAGAAACAAGAAGCCACTCTGTTCATTCCATTCCAAAAATGCAAAAAGGAAAGAATAAAAAAAGCAATCCAAGTCTCAAAAGTATGCACACAACACACAGCCTATATACATATATGTATAGTGAAAACTCCCTAGCAGCTGTGCCGGGATGTAGATGCGAGTGCCACTGCCTGAGCCCATACTTTGAGTCGAGCTTTCACATCTCTTGGATCATCACCTAAGTTAAACAAATTAATTTCACACTAGAGTCAGATTTTGAATGAATAAAATTAATAAACTCATGAACAATATAAAAACTTTGGTAGTTTCTTCCTATAGTAACATTTTAAAATTAAGAGCTTTGGTAGACCACCATGTTTTGTTTTAGAAATAAATGGGTCCTAGTTTAACACCTTTTTTATGTAGTAGTATAATATTTAGATAACCCATAATTATAAGCAAAATGCACAAAAGAATTGAACTTGGATGAATTGTAATGTATAATGAATCTCACAAGTTAAAAAGTATTTCTGTGAAGTACAAACTTAATACAAATCAATACAAACAGAATTTTCTAAAGAACCCATTAGGCATAAGTAGTAGTAGTAGTAGTAGTAGTAATAGAAGAAGGAGGAGGAGAAGAAGAAGAAGAAGAATACCAGGGCTAGAGATGCGCCAATTGGAGATGGGGGAGTTGCCGCCGCTACTGGTGTCAAGAGGAGATCCAGCGACGGAGACAGAGAGTCGAGTGGGCATAATTTCAAGGGAGGTTCGTTCATGTTCCAACTCAAAACCAAGGTCTCTACACGCCTTCACTTCATCCAAATCCATACACAGTGACCTCCTCCCTCCTTTAGGCCTCGTTATCACTACCAATCCCCGACCACCACCAGCACTACCTCCCCCCTCCTCGCTCTCCCCGCAGCTGTTTCCCCAATTGCTATTATTATTGTAATTATTCCCACCACCACCACCACCAGCACTACCCATGTCCATATTAATCGCCGCCGTGTCTTCTTCCATATTGGCCATCACCGTCTTCTTATTCCGTTCCCCCATAGCATTTACCAATCTCTCCCTCACGATTCTCCTCCTCCTCCTCCTCCTCATCTTCTTTTTATGAAGAAGAAAGTCCTTGTGAACTTCGTTCTCGCTTGCGTACTCTTTCACTTGCTGCTGACTCAAACCCCCATTTCGGTTCCTCCGTCTCGGCGGTGTCATCGGCAGCGAGTAACACCCCATCGGCTCCTTATCGGAGTCCGACGACAATAATTGTTTTCCCTCTTTTTCATCGGAAAATTCTTCGTCGGCATCGGCATCGGCATCAGCATCGTTAAAGCAGCTCTCGATTGATAAGCGTGACATGAACATCATGATGCTATGATGATTGGCGTCGTCGTCGTCAAGTTGGAAGTAGTTATTGGGATCCCCATCCCCATCATCATCTTGACCGCACACAGTGGTGGAATTGCTACTACTGCACATAGATAGCCTTGAAAGATTGTGAGGATGAGTCTGTAGATGATGAGGATGATGAGTCTGCTGGTGCTGATGATGATGATGATATCCATCATCAATGTCACAACAGTCGTCCTCTAAGTCCGCCATACTCACGCTTTCGTCTGAAGCCATATACATCTATCTATCTGATTCCCGGCCAAATCAACCCCAATTGATTGAGAGTGAGAGTGAGAGCGAGCGAAGCAAAAGACAAAAAAAGGGGTTTTGGTAGAGCTACTCATTCAGTGTACATGAATGGGGCTCCGTGAACCATTCGTTTCTTTTGCCATGGATCCTTCTCGAGATGGTGATTAGGCTGGCTTTTCCTTTCCTACCCACCCTCACGGGCCTCTCACCCTTTTATAACACCACCCAACACTTTCACTGTGACTAGTATTTAATTTATTAAATAAGAGGATAACACGACTACAATAAAAATCAGCAATAAATACTACTCTCTTTTAGCAATAAATACTATATTTTCTTATTAATTTTTTTTTTATAATAACACAATAAAATGCAAGTTATTCATGATACAATGCCGCACAATAAAATTGGAGATAATTGTTGGAAAATCTAAATTATAAAGGGTACAAGACATTAGATTTTGTAGATATTTTTCATTAGTGAGATATTTATTTTTTTGTGAAATAATTTGGTGAAGAAAAATGTTACAGACCCTAAACGTTTTACTAATATTTTTACTAAATGTCTCGCATGAGTATAAGACCCACACCATATGAGTTCCATGTGAGTCCTACACTGAGACATTTGATAAAAATATTGATAAAATATTTAGAGTCCCTAGCATTACTCTTTGGTGAGAAGTTCTTTTATTTGTTTTGAAAGATATTTTGTTTTAATTTTATCCCTTAATTTAACTGTTGATTTTTTTTATCTGTTGAATTTTCTTGACTATTTATTCAAGAATTTTCCGTCTATTCAATTTTGTTCCTATCTATTCAATTTTTTTACCCTATCTGTTTATTTTTTTAATCTTTTCAATTTAAATGTCTCTTATCTATTTAAATATTTATTCACATAAATTTCTATCTATCCAAATTTATTATCTATTCAAATATCTAACCAAATTTGATTATTTGTTGCAATTTGTTTCATCATTACAACAACAACAACAAAATGAAAAAGAGATCAGAGTTTAGTTAAGGTTTATCAGTCACAGTTGAATACAAAGAATCATCAGACTTTAATCTATTGTATTGTTCCAGTTTTTCTCATCATATGAAATTCTTCAATTCAATCCAAACAAATTAAAACAAACCAAAATTGAAAAAACACACACACACACACACACACACACACACACACACACACACAGAGAGGAGTTGTAGAGAGTTTGGTTAGATTTTGGTTTGAAAACAATATATATATATATATGGGTAACTTAGTCATTTTATAAGAGTTTGTCCTCATGGCCAAAGTATTTTAGAGTATGGATCTTTGACTAGAGAAAATTTGAAATTGAATTTTTGAACTGAATGCCTATAAAATTACTTAAACCACTTTTTTAACACAAACTTACCTCATTCAAATGGGGTAAAAATCTATTCAAACTTAGAAGTATAGAGAAATTAATCTAAATCCAAATTTATCTCAACTAATTTAGATTAGGCTTGAAATTATCCTGATTCAAAGCAAAAATAATATTATCTGTGGGTGTTAATTTTTGAACACATAACCAAACAGGCAACTCAACTGGAGAGCATCGGCAGAATAGATTGAGCCTAAACAACATGTCATAGAAAGATAAGAATCTGGCAGTGGTTCATCCACCCGGTAGGGATGGCAATTTAAACCCGACCCGACGGGGACCTGATTCCCCGACCCCGAAATAAGTGGTTTTTCTCCGAAAAATATCCCCGCGGGGACGGGGATGGTATTAAAAAATCACTCCCCGATTAATTTCGGGCCAGGGACGGGGATAGGCTCGTCGGCTCCCCGATTCATCTTTGCCTCTGTATCTCTTTGTATTATATAAATATTATTAGTTGTATTATATTTTGTATTATATAAATATTAGTTATACTTTTGATCTCAACTCTCTTAGATCTCAACACTCTCACTGACTCACTCTCTTTCACTCTCTCGTCTCTCTCGTTCTTCTCTCTCTGACTCTCACCGACACGGCGACACAGTCACCGACTCCTCTCTCTCACTCTCAGTCACCGACACGGCGACACCACCACCACTCTCTCTCACACCTCGTTTGCTCTCTCAGCTCTCGTCTTCAGCCGCTGATCGCATACCAGTTATCGACACCACTACCACCGCTGGTCCAGACTCCGATCTACAGATCTATTGTTTGAATCTGTTTACTGGATTATGATGATTATAGATCTATTGTTTGAATTTGTTTAATGGATGATGATGATTATAAATCTGTTTACTTGGATGATTATAGATCTGTTGTATGATTATAGATCTGTTTCCACCGCTGGTCCAGACGCTGATCTCATTTTTTTTGTTTTTTTTAGCTGGGGAATGTTCGAGGTCGGGGAAACCCGATCCCCGTCGGGGGTCGGGGGTGGGGGCGATGATACGTTCCCCGTCGGGGATCGGGGCCGGGGGAAATTTGACCATTGGAGATCGGGGACGGGGAGGGTGATCCCCGGCCCCGCCCCGTCCGTTGCCATTCTTACCACCCGGAGACACTCCGACGATCAAGTCAGTAATCAAATATCTCTCAAAGATAGCAAAGTGTGCTTAAACTCACAACAAAGCACTTATTGCTCACAATATATCACCCATCCTTGGGATCCACGGGGGTGCTTTACTTTTATAGCCAACACTGACCTGATACCTATAGAAGCTGCACTTCAATGGACTCATGCTCAATGTTCATTCTGGACTCTCAGTTAGATAGAGATAAACTCCCTAAGAGCTTTATCTTTATCCAGACTGAGATCCTCCCATATTTTAAGACTCTTGTCCCTTATTTGCTTGTCTCGGATTCCGGTATCTCTGTAGATAACCTTGGCCTAGCCGAGATCACCTCGGCATCAAGACCAAGCCACGTGGCACCTTGGTTGACACTTCGGCATTACCTTCGCTACGTGCTGTCACTCTCAAAATATGTCCCCACATTATCTTATTGTTGATTAACAAGTTGTCCGAAATAATATATTTCACTCTTTGAACTAAAAAAGAATTTCTCAAAAAAAAAAAAACAATAATATAAATACTAATTTTAAAAAATTGAATTGAGTTGTGTGTAATAACTAGAGATGGCAATAGGTTCTGAGAAATCGGGGAGTCAAGACAGGGCGGGAATGGGATGGGAAAAAATGGCTGATTAATTAAAATTTTAAGTCTCTGTTTGGGAAGATGGGTTGAGTTGGGTTTAGGGTTATTTTAGTCACAAAAAATAAAATAGATTTTTTAGTTCAATAAGACAAAACGTCACATCTAATCCATAATCATTACATTCTTTCTCTCACAAAAAGTAAAAAAAAAATCAAAAAATCATTCCCAAACGAGACTCTTTAGTCCCAGGCTAAAATAGTCAAAAAACCAACATACTTCCCAAATGAACCCTAAGTATTTGGTTTTATTTTTCAAATTTTTAGTTTATTTTCTTTTTAATTTAAAAATTTTCAAAAAAAAAAACATTTTAAAATTATTATTTTAGTTTTTAAACTATTTTTTGAAAGTTAAAATCAACTTCTCTTTTGAAAAGTTACAATAATAGTTAAAAAGTCAAAAGTTATCAAAAAAAAAAATTAAAAAGTAAAAAATTATACAAAAAAAAAAAACTCTCTATTTTTTGTACTTTTTTTTTTGTGTGTAAAATGTCAAAAAAAAAAATCTCAATTTTCACTTTCTATTTTAGTTAAAAATTAAAAAAAATTACTTAAATAACTCATTCTCAAACATATAGATTAGAGATTATAGTTTGAGAAGAGAAATCTTATTTGTAAAACTTTTTCAATTAGAAATTCTAAAAATTTTAAGAGGTTGACCAGTAAGTCCTTTCTTTTGGACTTATGATCTATATAATTTTATATTTTTTCTTGTAATGCATTTAGTTATTTTAGATGTATGATGACTTATTGCTCGTCACATTAGAAGGTTATATTTGGGGAGTTATGTTGGAGTGTTACATTTAGAAAAATTATACTAAGGAATTTTTTAGTATTAATGTTACATTAGAATGTTACATTTGAGAAAAATAAATTAAAAAATCTTTTAGTGTGTTATTGAAATATTACGTTTAAGGAGTTTTTAGTGTGTTACGTTAGAGGAGTGTTACATTTGTAAAAACTATACTAAAAAGTTTTTTAGTGTAGTGTGTAATATTGAAGTGTTGCGTTAGAGAAGTCTTTCAGTGTATACGTTGGAGGAATGTTACGTTTGTGAAAAATATACTAACGAGTTTTTTAGTGTATTAGTGTTACATTGAAGTGTTACATTTTGTGAAAATATACTAAGAAGCTTTTTGGTGTGTTACGTTTGTCAAAAGTATACTGAGGAGTTTTTTAATATGTTACGTTAGAGAAGTGTTACATTTGAAAATGTACACTAAAGAGTTTTTTAATATAGTGTGTTGCGTTAGAGAAGTTTTTCAGTGTATTACATTGTAAGAGTTTTACGTTTGTGACAAGTATACTAAGGAATCTGTTAGTATATTACATTGGAGTGTTAGAGTGTTACGTTATTAGAGTACTATATTTAAAAAAAATAAACTAAGGAATCTTTTAATATGTTACGTTAGAGTGTTTGAGGAGTCATTTAGTGTTACGTTGGAGTAATGTTACGTTTTTTAGTGCTACGTTGATGTTTCTCAATGAAGAATGGTAGAAACGTCCATCAAATTATATCAAGATTTAAAATAAAATTTTATGATAAGGTTGTCAAAATAATAATAAAAAAATCTATCAATATATTTAAAATTTTATTAAATTGTTTGGAGTAACTATTCTAGTATAAAACTTTTTGATAATTTTTTTAAAATTTTATTAAATACTCAGGCGATAGGTCTCGCACTCACATAAATGTTTAGTCAAAAAATTAACAAAATTCTTGGAATTATGTAAGTCGAATGGAGACTGAAGACTTTCGGGGTGGGGAGAAAAGTAAAGCCTTACACAAGTTATTAATTAGACTTTGGTTATCGCATCCATGGTTGTGGTGACGAGTGTCCTTATCTAACCCCACGTAGCACCGGACAAAGCGCGAGCAATGGACCTCACGGCAAAATTAAAATACTAAAAACAAAACAGCTCATCCTTTTGGTGTCGACGTGGGGTCCGCTCTAGCCATGAACATGACGCACCAAACCAAACCACACGTCTTCACTCAGTGAGCACGTGGCATCCAACGGTTTAGCA